TTTTATCATGAAATTTGTATGCAAGAAAACGTTTTCTTGGGGATCTTATGAATAATATCTTAATTCGTTTACTTTATCTGTATTATTGAATCATTGTAATGCTGTTTTTAAAGTCAAACAGTTATTTGAACTCTATCAATTATATCACAAATGTCAATTACGCGTTTTCTTTTTTTACTTTCATCATAAATAAAATGTTATGAAATAAGCCTATCTATTTAACTTTAGATTTTACCCATAAACGAGATAGTATTTATTTTTACATAGTGTGGATAAGAGATACGTAATAAAATAATAAATTCCAATATGGTTCTAAATAAATTATCATATAAATGTAAAATATGTAAGATATATTAATTCCAGATACACAAGCAATTATGATTTGCAGCAGAGGGAAATTTATAAGAAATATAATAATTAATAATGTAGTCGAGACATTTACAAAATACAATAGCATAAACTTTTTTGTAGGAAAAAAATATCACCTAAATAACATATATTGTGAAAGAAATCCATCTATAAGTCAGACCAGATACGTTAGCATTATTAAATGTTTAATGCTGATATTTTTTATTTATTTCCAGTCAAAAATTGAATATAAAATTATTTGACACTCATTGTTTTCAAAAAATATATGAATGTACTAAACACCAACATAATATACAAGATACGACATATATATTCCTAAACTAACCGAATGAACACAAACAATATTGTAGATTATACAATTTTTACATGTTACGTTCGTGAATACTACATTGCTTGATAGGTCGTAAATGTTTATGACTCTCGTCAACTATATAGGCGCATTGTGTGCTCAGACGTGAACACGAGCTCACTGTGTTTATGGTCACACACAATGGCTTGGCGCAACAAAATAATTCATAAATATTTTAATTTCAAATATTTAATAAGCAACCACAACATTAATATTGCCTTGCGTGATTTTTAGCATAACACACAGTTACGTAGGACGTAGGTTTACCTTTTTTCCGCTTGTTTTATCGCAGATGAGGATTGCGTAGTGCGTTAACATTACTTCCACCTGAGCTGCATCGTGTACTGTTCTAGAAATCATACATACAAATACAATATAGTATCAATTATTTTTATTACAAAACATTAAAAAAGTTGCGTGGTAGACGGGACGATGTGCCCTCTCCCTCAGTCATCTGCAGAGGTTGATTTGACTAGGAGCTTCAAGGGCCATAATCCTAGAAGCCTTATATTAACGTCAAATTTTCCCGAGTAGGGTGGTTGGAATACAGTAACCACCACCCTCAAATCTCGTGGAGGATTTTCCATGATCGTTGGCTCAATGGACCTAAGTATAACTCACTATAAATTATATAATGTATACTATAAAACATAGGTACAAACTATCGTCAACATGTATATAGATATTTTTTTTTACTATTTCTTATCTATTAAGAGTAAAAATAATCAACGAAAATAGATTGAGAATAATTTGGCTGTCATGTAACGACAAATTATTGGGTGTTAAGACGTCGAGTGTTGCGGTCCTAGAGTATTTGACGAGTGCATCGATTCCGTTCTAATAAATAATATGATTTTTCGTATAGTTGTCATTTTTTTTTTTTTATTATTATTTATTTATTTATTTACAATAAAATTAAATACCAAAGGGCTTTTTACAATTTGGTGAACACAGTTATTATACATTAAATGAGATGGATGTAAGTACAGACAAGAGTAAACTAAAAACTAGATAAATTAACAGGAAAAAAACTTAAAGATAACATAACAATGGTTATGTAAATCACATAGAACTGGCCAACCTAAGCATCCTGTGCATAGGGTGATTATGCCTGTAGGAAGTGGATTGAGTTGGGATGTAAATAGAAGCGTGATTTCGAACATTTTGAGAAGGGACTTTAAATTGGATTTTCGATAGTAAGTCAGGTGAGTTGATGGAGTTATCGAGAAGAGCATGGATGTACTGTAAATCAATACTATTACGGCGTGAGGATAAAGAAGGAATATTCAGATAATAGCTAATACCAGAATAGTTATGATTAGGGGATGATAATTTAAGAATAAAAGCAGCGTAGGAATGGAATTTATGCTGGACTCGCTCAAGACGTAACTGATCCTTAGAAAGATATGGACGCCAGAAGACAACCCCATATTCTAAGGAATATGTATTAATAATATGATGTAATAAATATGTGTTTATCCAAAGTTTTTAATACTGTATTAATTTGAGTGACATAGTCAATAGTCATGCATTCATGCAGTAGGAAGTAAGATTCTATAAGACTATCTTCACAGTCTTAATTGATTTATTCAAAAATCTATTAAAATTATTTCTAATAAGTGAATATATCAACAAGTCCTAACAGCTGAATTTTAATTTGGAAAAAAATACGATTACTATATTAATATATTACAAATATACAAGTTATTAAAATTCACATGTAAGTGATAGAACACTTTAAATTGTATTTTTTAATTAATATATTCTACATTTATATGTACGTAAATACTATATAGCTGTTCTACTCAACGTTATCAGTGCCAAATATTTGTTTTTATTTCTTAAATATATCTGTAAAAAAATATGTATGGCATGTTTCTACTAATTATAGTTATAGTAGGTTGTTATGCCTATTGCCTATGTTATTGATAATGTAACCAATATCAAGCATTCAAATAAAATAAAAGAGTATTGGTTTTCATGAGCTTAAAAGAATGCATCTGTGAGTTACCTTCTAGTTACGTATAGGGGTGGAAAAAAATGTTTAAGCCTGATCCACGATGTACTTTTTATTTAAAAAAAAATCAAAATAATCAGATGAGTAGTTTCAGAGAACAAGCATGACAAAGATTTTCATTTTCACATGTATGTATGTATGTATATATATGTATGTTATTGTTGTTACCTACGGAAATTATGATTTGTGAGGAGAGAGGAAGTTTTGGCGGCATATTGTTTACCCTAACTGCTTTTTGCACCAATCAGATAAGACTTTGAGCTTCTTTGTAGGCACAGCTATACCTACAGTGTGTCAGTAAGAATTCAATGATACAAAATATCAGGAAGTTCCCTCATTTTAATTAATTGGTCGTGTTTATCTATTATATTGGACTTGTATAAAAATTTTTTTTTTCAAGATCAACTAAACAATTGTTACACAATAGACACAAAAAATTAAATCGTAAAAAATATCCATTCATCGTGTTAAACGCGGTTAACGTATATCTATTGTATAATATAACATAATATATATACATAATATTAAATATTGCAATAAGTTATTAATAAATTATGCGTTTTTGAACAAATTTTGTTTTTACGATTATCATACCTAATACCTATCTATGAATTCTTTAAAAGACATATTTGTAACAATAGAAGGCCTTCAAAAAATCTTCGTGACCTTAATAATAAATTGGTAATACTTCGCTAATACTTAATTATGCAAACATTTTAATGTCAACAAAACAATTAATTACCTACTAGATAAATATTAGTATTTATAAAATTTGTGAAGTGAAATCATTGTACATAGTTTCTACTATAATCTACTTTATGCATTTAGAAATAATGTCACATTGTTACCTGTATCAAATATTGATAGTTACGATTTACGTATAGGTACCTAGTACACGCACATAATATGTAAAAAAATATTCGTTTCTCGTCGATTTAATCATTTAAATGTATAGGTAACGAATTGTTGTGGAAAAACAATAATTATAATTAAAAATAAACAGTTTATAATTCATATTATATAATATATAGGTGACATTATGCACTATATTAAGATTTGTTTCCTAAGAACTGTTTAAAATATACTTATTCATCGCAATATTGTGTCGTTATACAACATTTTTTATTGTTATGAGGTGCCTCTATATAGTTCCTAAATTGGTCGTAGAAAACCCAGGATTCAGGCCATGGCCTTTGCTTATGAATATATAATCTGTTACTAATATCAAAATATATTAATCTGATATAATATATTCAGAATAAACAAGTATGTAGTACAAATATGTGTAATAAATATTAAATACCTACCTATGGGCTGAGAACTTAATACGTTTTGAAAACCTCACAGTGACACAACTGTAATAAAACCATAGACATTTTTAGCAAAGCCGGTCATAGGTGCAGTTTAAGTACATTTATACGCTCTCAAATATTGGAGCATGTAAAAAACACACACACGAGTGTCGTTCATCATTCGGCCCGTATATTGTCTTGGAAATGTCTGTTGCATCACGTGCCACACGAGTAGACCACTGTGGCGCTGTATGCCCGAAATTGGAATGACTCGACTTACCTGTTACGGTTCTTTTTTATATATATTGTAGTCTTCCTGTGGTTTAATCAGATGATTTATATGCAAAGTTGTTACTTAATAGACTGTGTGACCTTGCTAATAAAAGTGATAACAATATCAATAACATTGTCCGTCATTGTAATTCGTTTGCAATAAGTATATAACAGCTTTTTCACGTGGTCTATTTGGTTTTAACATATTAACGCAACCCACTATAATATGATATAATACTTATAGGTGTATATAAACATAATTCAGATTTCTAACAGTTGACGACTTTCTTTTGTTATCGTTATCAGTCATCACTTCGTCAGATATAAAAATCAAACAGAAACGTATTTACGTGGGGCGATAATTCAATTATATACGGAAAATCATTTATACGCCTCTGCGGATTTATGTAACGTAGAATGCAACGTATTACGTAGATTACCTACGGTAGGTATACATATCGTTTAGCTAAACCGACTTATGTTTAACCTAAAATATAATAATATTAAATATTAATAAAATATAATAATATTAATATTTTTCGAACAATAGTGTACTCCACTACTTTATGGTCAGCGTCTTACTCTGACATTCACATCTGTGACATCGACTTATGATCGACCATGATATGGTTTCAGTCCAAAAAGACGAATCCAAAAGTTTGGAACAAAAAATGATGGCTTATGTAAAAAAAAAAATATGTATTATATAATAATATTGTATTTTATTCGTTGTAATTTTATTAATATTCGCTATAACTAATAATTAATGACCACGGATATTACAGTGTTAAGTTTATAAAGGAATCGTTGATGCATAGCTGTATATTTTATAGACTTTTCTTGTCATGGTAACTCTGGTATTGGTATATGCTCGTACATGGTGGTGCTGCTGTTATGTCTTCTCTCACGGGTAATAAGCGTACGGTGAAGCGAAAGTCTTGGCGACGTACGGGTAAGTAGCGTAAGACGACACGGCGCCGTACGGGTGATGAGAAGCGACGTACGGCGCGGCGGCGTACGGGGAAGCGACATACCGTGAGGCGACATACGGTGATGCTGCGTACGGTGAAGCAACGTATGGTGAGGCTGCGTACGGTGAGGCCACGTATGGTGATGCGGCGTACGGAGCGGCCAGGTAGGGTGAAGCGTACAGACCACGCTTATTGCGGTCTCCAGCTGCGGCCGGGGCGGCAGATTGGGACGATTGTTTTGCAGACTGTTCGGCGGCGTAGGCAGATACGAAGCACATGGCGACGGCGATAAGGGCGAAAGATACCTGTGAAAACCCAATAAATTAGTTGCGATTCGGACAAGTATTCAAATCAGTAAATACGTAAATAGTTATGGCATTGTGGGAAAGCTCCAGCCCATTGCAATGTGTGTAACTAAAAAAAAATATATATGTCTCGTCCAAACAGGGATAAACGTATTGGAGGAGTTTTTCAAACGTAAGTTTGGGCATACAATAATAGGCTGGAGAGTGACTGTGACACAGTAGTACAGTACACATCATTTTTAGCACGACATTTGCTCATCGCAATTACATTATTATTTATTACGATATTATACTGTTTAAAATCCATAAAAATAGATCGTTCAATCTATTATTAATATATTAAAAGGTCGATTTCTCTTAAGTTACGATATTTCTGTTTTCTTTTGCTATTACATCTACTTATAACTTGATCTTTCCTAATTCAACTAAAAAATAAATAAAAATCACATTTTCATTATTTCATATTTGATAGGATTTTACATCAGTACTTAAAAATATTGATTTTACATTAACTTGTGCATTTTATATTTTGAATACAATTACGTTTTATTTTAACCTGCCTATCTAACGAATACGTGTAAATTATCACTTACTTGGAACTGCATTTTGATTATGTTCGTTGTTTGTTGCTTGTTGCTTGGAAATGTGACTTGAGAAGCTCGTATGTCCACTATAGTTGAATGATGAACTGATTGACCTGAGTCCAATCGGTCGTTTTATATAGTATTATTCGACCATGTAACGCCCAATTGTCATTCAGAGTACAATATTCCTACGTCCTAGTTACCACACATCAGTTTTGATGCCAAATAAAATAACAATTGAATTATAATGTTTTTATACAGCAGCACAATTGGATTTTTCTATTCTGTTTTATAATCACCACCCTTTTCAGTATATACTTAATACTTATATTCATCATAAGTATCCTCAAGTATCCTTGACGACGAAGAGGGTTTTGTAACTCTATATATGGATGACCCTACACTCTACAGCTGTCTATACATCGTCGTTTATGCGGCAATGTGATATTATTGAAAATTGTTATTTATTATTTTAATGAATTATGCATATTATGACAATACTATTATGACAATACTTTTATGATAATATCAATGTATGAAATAAATTGTCTACAGGCCTTGATCATAATACCTATTGGAGTTGACCTCAGTGCTGGATTACATTCGGTTGTCGAAAACTATCACAGCTACGGCCTACGGAGACATGCGAGACTAATGGTAAATCATTAGATCGAAAAGAGTTCCTATAATTTTTATATATAAAAAAAATTATATCTTATACAAAAAATGTAGTATAATACACTTTGTATCAACAATGTGATTTAAAAAAATAAATACAAACAAATAGGTGCTTAATACTTATATTAGTTATATACATATTTCCCATTGTTTACTTATTTAAATTGAACCATATGCCCCTGTCTAATTGGTTTATAATAAATCATAAATAAATAAGTTGAATTATTCCAAAATATTTATTTGAAATTATTGCATTGATGGTAAAATGTATTTAAATAACTGTTGACATTGTTATATTTACACATTACACTTTAGTTTTTTATTTAGAACACTGTTAATATTAAGCCACATAATTTAAATTGTTTGAAATATTAATTGCGTATTTATTAAATTATATTTTTTGTATAAGCAATAAGCATTAAGCAATAATTTATTATATTATGTGTATGATTTGAGCTTATTAAACAATACTATAATTTTAGTTCACATAAAAATTATTTTCATTATAAGTAAATGCTAATTTGACAAGGAATTATTGTGCTCTTGGTTATTAAAAGATGATTTCGTTATAAATCTGCTATACATATGCTGTATTGCTGCCTACAGTCGACTTGTATTCGGATATTCCCATATCAGAGATTAATCAATGTTTCCAATTAGGGAATCTACTTGTGTATAATACTTGTGTCTACAGTATCTGCCACCTAAATTAATTAAGTGTCATTGCAATAATCGTTGCTAACATAAATGAAATCATTAACATTTTTCTATTGCAAGCTGTAGCTTGATTGTTTTAATGCGTGCTGTGTAACACCGAAACACTGAAGTCTCCGAATTAGGTAAAAGTACCATGCCTAAATAAAGTTACAAGAAAATATACTTAATTTCAACTCAGTTTGTTTTAATTAATTATACATACTTTACTTAAAGTCTTAAATTAATTTAAATATTATGTATAGTTTATTAATACACTTACTTCGTTACTTTGTTACTAGAATAACAAAATAATATTACATAAATATGATTTTAGACATATCAAATTGTACTTCAATAGTACAATTAAGTATTTAGAATTTTAGAATGACTATAGATAATAAAAATTAAGAACTAATATTAATGTTGCAATTCCCTATTGCCATGAAGCTAATGGTTCTTTTTCTTAAATTTAAAAAAAAAACAACTTTTATCAGTAATATGACGACTGTTGTACCCTATATGTATTTAAATAATAAGCAATAAAACAATACTATTTTATTGCCTATTATTTGAAATATGTACATAAGTACTGGGTTTATTAAGTAATCGTATAACTTTTTTTTTTGATTTAATAAAAATAACTCTCAACCACTCGCTGCCGTTGTGAATTTTAGGTACTATAAATACATAGGTATTACATAATATTATGTAATCTCCATATTATTATATTTAGTACCTAATGTACATCTTTTAGACTGTTATCGTATTTGTTGTATGTTTCGTGTATCTATACACAAAACTCAGTACGTTATGTGACATGAATATGTGATGATAATTTACTTTTTTATGGAAATCATTTTAGGGGTAATTCACTATTTCATATAATAAGATAAACTGAATACACATTGCACAATACCATATCATATTAAAGTTATTGGTTTATTTAAATTGCAACTATAAAATTATATTAAATTCTATTATATGTTTATGGATTACCAATTACTATTGGTGTGTAAATTGTTATAATAACAATGTAAACATTTAATGTAATTTGTATGCCATTATATGTAGATTATTTGTTTTTGTCTTTATTATAAAGAAAATATTTAGTTGTAACATTGTAACATTTTTTCCCCATAATATTATTATAATATAATGTATCCATAAATTAACAAATATTATCCTAAACTAAAAACAGTTTTATATTTATTGTACCTACATAATAAAATGTACTTATTCAGTGTCATAATTAATTACTCTGGTTCGAGAAATACATTTTTACTATTTTGTTCTATTAAACAATAGAATAAAAAATATATTGAAAGCATGAAAATTAACATGCTTTTTATAGCTTATAATAATATATAAGTTTTTTATACTTTATAGCTGGTTAAGTTATAGTATGGTATAATTTACCTGCAGCATTTATCCCTAATTACAATATTTTAACTAGGGAAAAACAGAATTCAATGACCCTGCTGACAAAGTGACAGCACATCTTTAATTTATCTACACACCAGTGCACACTCTAAACAGTCCTTCTGTTGTAACTGTTTAGTTAATCTGTCCTTCAATATTATTAATTCAGTATTTACTTTTTTTTTAATTTTTAAATATCATGTCAAATATTCATTTTATATTTATAAAGTTAATAAATTAACCTTATTATGGTTATAGGATCACTCTACAAAACCAACGTAGTAAACACTAAACTTATCATCCATCATTAAGTGAGCATCTAAAATTTAAAATGATATAGGTAATTTATTTTCAATTGGAACTCTGTAGTCAGAGCCAGGGAGTACCTATTATATAGGGACGAACAAAAGACAGTAAAAATATTACCGTTATCTTAATCAATTAAATAAGTAAATGACATACCTATTTAAAATAAATTGTATTTACAGATCTGTTTCCATGTATTATTTATAGTTATACTTTCGACTTGTCTAGTTTTTATCTAATTATCTCTCAACGAAACAAAGTCTGAATTATTACGTACCTATTTCATGTAGATATTTAAAGTTGTAATTATAGTATAAAAATGTCATATTAAAGTAGATGCTACTAAAAAAAGTATACACGATAGAATAACTAATAAGTAATATTGTATTAATAGTGTAGAGAACTAGATGCGACCATAGCACACCGCACAAGATTGTTTATCAGTTAATCACAGTGCGTAGCCATGAGTTGGCCATAAGGGTTATTATGAGCCCATGGGCTTTTGCCCCACACCATTTGTGTTATGCCTTATGCCTTATGTTTAATATACTGAAATTCAAAGGTGCAAGTGCAAGCGAACATTTTTAAATTTTTAATTCTATGGTCAGCCATAGCTGAGGTGTCATTGTGATTTAATAGTTAATATATGTTATAGTTTAAGCATCAAAATCAATGGTATAAAATCAGGGTGTTTGAAAAAACTTTAAAAACGATAAAATCATATTTTAACAGTTTTGAAATATTTTTAAAGTTAGGTGCTCAACACTCGATCAAAAAGCGCTCTCAAGACTTGCGAGAAGCGCGACCTCTCACGGCTCTAACCTACGAAAGCATAGCGATTTCAACAGATCACAGATGGCGCTTTCGAGATACTGCGAACTGTTCGGGTATGATCTTCGGCAGACGTAGGGTTGCCGGCACCGGCAGTTCTGGTTGCTAATACTGTGGCCCGAGCTGCTCTAGTGTTGGCGAGTGTGTGATCGTAGCCGGGGCTTGAGACAGTCTGGAGATGACTCTCGAGCCCCATGTGCCGCGTCGCCGGGACGTGAGTACTGCACGGTCGTGATCCCGGATATGATCACTTAAGGACTACCGGACAGTTCGGCATCTGGTCCGGGCGATCGCTGCCATCGGTGGTCGCTTGATCGCTCGGATCCTCAACCTAACCGAAAATCTTGTTCGGCTCCGGACTCGATTGAGCGCGTTTCCGGTTGAGGGTGGAGTATGCTCACGGTGGATGCGATCGTAGGGCATTGATGCCTTGTGGGACCATCACTCTGTGGCCCTACGCCATTGATTGGGAGCGCGTGTGGTGGTTAATCCCCCCCCAAACGTCGACACCCGGTTGAGTCACTTCAGTGGGCGACGCGTCGGTTTGTCCGATTCGTAGCCACGTGTGTACCGCTTACGGGTGGTCGGCGACAAAGTAAGCCACTTGCGCCTCGGTATCGCTGCTGCAGTCAAGTTTTACTGCAATAGCTATCCGGCGAGGCGTACACATCCATTTGAAATCTAAAACATCTGAATGTAAACCTACTTGGGTACTCGTCTAATATACTACCTACCGCAGAATAATAACTACCAAAAAACGTTTACTGATTATTAACAAATTAACAACAATATTAATAACAATTTATCACTAAATAATTTATTAATTTACCGTTGTCAAGTACTTTATAATATTTCAATACGTCATTATATATTATTATACATTATATACTAATATGGCTATTAAGATATAATTTTGTACAACTGCTATAATATGTTATTTATCTTAATACTTAATTACTCAAATGTACTTTCCTATAATAAAATGAAATAAAATAAAAATAACTACGGTAGGTAGCATACTAGCATACTACATGCATACGGTTTTTGGTAGATACCATTTTATGGTAGGTAGCATATTAGACGAGTACCGGAACTTGTATACGGATTCGGTATGTTACTGAAATTGTACTGATCAAATAAAATACCAATGTACAAGTGACGTATACCATTAAAATACACAAACAATATGCATTTTAGTTGCAATAACATTGTAATATGAAATTGGTAGAGGCGGGTGCATAAAAACTATGTCGATTGCAGTTAGTGCAGCATACAACTCCCATAATAGTATGACCATAAGCATGAAGTAATGAAAAATAAATACCAAGTATACATATTAATATTAACTCTATAATACTCTTTTACATGCCATTCTCAAATAGGTATCTAAAATTGCTAGTCAGGGTTTCTTTTAAAATATTTTCATTCTTCTACAACAAGTTAAAACTTAAAATTGTAAGTAATGTAGTTTAATAAATAGTAATATAGGTTATGCAATATAAAATATAAGCTAAATTGAATTGTTGTAACAGAGGATGACATACCCGTATGTGTTGACGTGTTGTCTCACAAGTGCGTTATGCAGCAGATTGTACTCTCAGCAGATCGCATTTACCTTCGTTAGTTTAAAAATTAACGTGAATTGACCTCTTATACAATTTAAAGGTAAGAATATTATTCAGACGACCTCATAAGTGTTTTATTATAATTTACTCGCTTCAAAATTAAAATATAATACAAAACTCATGAGGTCGTCTAAATAAGTTTAAAAAGGCCCTAGATAATAATCTTTTCCTTTAAATTGTTTAATAAGTAAATTCACTGTAATATCAAAAGTAACAGCACACTATTGAATCTGGTGAACAAAAATTTGGTATATTGTACTTTCGTACTTGTGTAAGACGGAAACAACACATGCGAGTACAATGTTCTCTTAAATAATGCTTGAAAGTATTAAAATGTTTGTATAATTTTTTTAACATTTTATTAATTTAAGCTCTGATCTTTAAGTATATTCAAAATCTTATCATTGAGCAAGGTAAATTAAAAACAAAAAAATAATAGAATGTACAAAATGATAACTGAGATCTTTGTTCATGATTATGACATTTATTAATTATTGGTAATAATTAAATTACAAAACATATTGTATAAAATAAATCACTAAAATAACTAATAGAACATTATTCTCGATAGTAAGCAATACAGTTTTAAAACAGTCAAGGTATTATAATTGATAAATGTATTCTAAAAAATAATTTAGACAATCAACGTCAGAAAGATTTAATTTATAAATATAATTTAATAACAATGTTAAATACAATATCAACATTTAGGAATGAATTTTATTCCTAAATGTAACAAAAAATAAATAAAAAATAAAAATAACGCGTTTAGAAAAACATTTACAGTGATATTCTGTTCAGATACACGTTATATAAAAACTAGAGATATCTTATTAATTGAATATTCATAGCTATTTGAGTAATATATTTTTATTACACAAAATAAATTTACATGGTCATTGTCAATGGTTCCATTTACTTCTTTGAGATGCTGCATCTGTTAGAGGAACGTAGATCACATCCATCAGCTTTTTCCTGGATACTGAACCATCTAATTTTTTATCAATCACTTCTAACACTTGCTCTCCATTTTGTGGCCCAATTGGTAATACAAGACGCCCACCAGGTTTTAATTGATCGATTAACTAATGAAATACAATACATTATTCAAAATAAAATAATATAATTAAATCTTCTGTAATAAGAACATGAACATTTTATTGTAAATATTACAATGCATAGCATATATTTGTTTAGCAATAACACTATAATTTAAACACTTTAGCAAAAAAAAAAAACTTTCAGCTAGGTATGTGTAAAGTGTAAACTATATTGAAATGCAGTAATAAACTAAAAAAGAAAAATTACAAAAATGGTAAAAAGTAAAAATAAATATATAATTGGAAAGGTATTGTTGTAGAGTGATGAAATCATCTATGCAAATCATCATTTGCACAAACTAATTTTTTTTACCCATATGATGACATATAGGCGGATAAAATACAAAAAATTGGAATACACAAGTAATACGTGTCCAGCAAGATAAAATTTAAAAACAATTTTACCAGGTGAAATAGGGTTATATGAAATGTAAGAAGCAGTAACCTTACCAATTTATATTATAAAAAAAAAATAATAGTTAATAATTATTTGTCATTCAAGTATAGATCAGACTCAAAAACAAATAAATAAAAAATACCTATTTTACCTATGTAAAATATTCATACAAATAAAAGGAGAAGAAACATAAACACTGATACTAAAGGTGTGTAGAATCAGAAATTTATTATTTTAGAGAGTGTTGATTTTACAATTACAACCGTTTTCATAGACAAATGTCAACCTGAATGATATTATCTATAATTATTATTATATTGTAATTCGCTATTGAAATATTTACCGGTTGTGGAATTTTTTCAGCAGCAGCACCAACATGTATTGCATTATATGGCGCATATTTTTCTAATCCTAGTCGTCCGTCTCCAGCTGTAACATTAGTATACTTTTATTAAATTCATAAAAACTAAATTGAAATGTATTATGATATATTACTTTCTAAAATCACTCTCTGTGAATTCAATAGTTCTGGATTATCTTTTTTAACATTTTCCAAAGATTTTTCAACAAGTTCAGGAATATGATCAATACCAACAGCTTTTCCATTTTCTCCTAACATTGTAGCCATACAAGCAGTTAAATATCCAGATCCAGAACCAATATCTAAGGCTCGTTCTCCTTCTACTAATTGATCTTTCAAAAGTTCCAAAGCGTATGCATGCTAAATTATATAATACATACAATTATTTATATAACCAAATATAACATAATACTATGCATATTATTTTAAATTACTTCCACAATTATAAGTTTAAAAAATAAAAATAATATCTATATTATATATGTTATAGGATATTCTTGTATCAATAAGTTCCCTATTTCTTTTAATATTATAATAAAAAAATGGACAGCTTGTTCTTTATTAAGGACATTGTTGAAAGTGATTCCGAAAACTTCAATATTCTTTCAGAGCTATTTAAAATTAAATTTGCATATTATAAATAATATTATGTCTTATTCAATACCATATGTGGTGCACTGATTGTAACTCCATAGCCAATACTTTGTGGTTGATCTAAATATGGTGATGTCGATACATAATTGCCCCTATCAACCGCTTTCATTATTAATTCTACTTTATCACTTTTAATAACATTGTTAGCTGAAAAAATAAAAAATTTAATACATAATTAACATTTGTTAGTTAGTAAATAATACGTAATATTAAAATGGTAAACATGTCTTGAAATATATGCTTTATCCAGAATAAGGGTACATATCAGCGTCTACTGCCTGGTGTTAAATTATTTATAACAGAGTAATATAGTTGGTAAATTTTCATAAAATTTTAAATACCTATTATTATTTAATCCAATTAATATTGACAGTATTTCAACCAAAAACTATTATAACTATCATACCCTGCTATTTACTTAAAATTAAAATCTTAAATTCCATGATGAAGCTGGTTTTAAATTTGAGAGATTATACATGATTTGAATTTTTTTTAAATTTTAAATCTATGAATAATAATAAAAATATATAGCAGAATTCAGAATTAAAAATATAATTTAATTTTAAAAATAACCAATTCAAGACCATTTTGATGGTATGATAAATTGAATACAAATAACTGGAAAAACCATCAATAAGTAATAATATTATAATTTAAAATAATTATTTACCTCGTAAGTTTTGTACAAGTTCAATATTATTTCGACCGTGAGATCTCCACGCCATTTGGAACCCTTTTGTATTTTAATTTTCCTAGTTCCAGAATTCCAGATAATACGACTAGTACTCTAGTGTCCTAATGTTCAGTGTCTGTGAGTATTATGTTTAATCTATAAAATAGTTATGATTTAAATTTCTTTAGGAGCATTCACTTACTAATGAGACATAGAATAATTTGTTCTATGCACAATGCTCAATAAATTATGATTGTTAATTGTAAATTGTTCTGTTTGATGCAGCACAGCCGTGCACAGGACGTGTGAACTAATGCAGTAATGTAGTATGCACTATGTGCCTATGTAGTACTTGTATGCACTAACATAATATTAGTTATATAAATAATTATTATAATATTGTCTGTTTTAGTTTCAGTATGTTCCAAAGAGTTCAACGAGCACAAGAATCCTTACATTAGACATTTAAGTACTTATCAAAATATCAACATCACAGAGATAATAATATCTGTGGTTTTGAGGTATTTTGAAATACCCACAAAATAGATAGTAAACTAATTGATAACAATTTATTATTTTTATTCTAGTGATATCAGTGATATGTGAAGTTATTATCCGCCATTTTAAATAAGTCAAATGCATGTCAAAATCCCACCAAAATTTGAATTCTTCCTCGTCCCACAAACTATGAGTTGTCTCATCCGGCTTAGCTAGAGCCAAAAATTTGTTTTTACAGAAGGCGGCCATGTCTATATCTATAAGCGCATATGACATATCTAACATTAATATTTAACAAAAGACAAAACATTCATTAAAAATAACAATTTACATTTCTAGAACACAGTTATTTCATACAATTTATATGAACGAATTAATAATAATATTGTTATACAATAGAGATGATAATTTCTATACAGTTGAAGATGTGCAGGACATTTCATTTTTTTAATTCAATAATTAAAATATTAAAAAATTAAATATAATTATATACTCATATATATTGTGTATATATATATATATATATTTATTTATATAGTGGTGAACACAAAGTTTACACCTACAACTCTGTTCAGCGAAGACACGGCGCGCCGACCAAACTTAGTTCCCCACGTTTTGATGGCAGGGTGACACGGAGTCACGGACAGATGCGTAGAATCAGCCCGTTCTCTCGCTGACCATGGTAATAGATAACATTTAATATAAATCGTGGTATACTGGTATCTACTAAAGTAACATGTGGTAGCGTTGGTACATATTATTTTGGTGTATAGGTACAATTTAATAATGATAATATTATCGGGTATGTAATATTCGTTAACCGTTAAAGTTAAAACTTGGAAAGTTACAAGTTATAACTCAATTCGCTGATTCGGTATTTTGATAATCGGTCGAGACTTTGAGTGTTGAGACTTTGAGAGCATGAGGCCATGAGCATCAGAAATTTGAATCGTTTGAGACGTTTGAGTAATCTACTAGTGACTACCTCTGTCTTTTAGTAATCGATCGTGATTCAACACATCGTAGATTTGTAAGTTATTTCTCTAGAAGATTGTTAGTGAGTATTCAATATAACTAATGTGAAATTTGTAACATTTGAAAATTAGTTTAATAACGTGTTCAAAATTACGTTTGTTATGTTTAGTTAAATATAATTCTAATTATACCAACAGTTCTTATTCAAATCTTCATTACAATAGTTTTCAACGATATTTCGATGGTATTGTAAAAGCTCTGTATGAGAACCTTTTCTTTTTTTGAGTGAGGTAAAGTTTCATAGAATCACGTTTTTATGAAATGTCAATATGTGGTTTACATCATACATTTCCTGTATAATTACTTACAATTCAAGAACTACTATGACTCGTAAATTTCCATTCAAAGTCCTACAATCTCATGTGGTTACAGGACACCATGTTGACTGATGCTTGCACTCAGTCATGCCTGTAGTGGCACCAATTTACATTTTAGCAATCGCTACAGTTTTAAAAAGTTATAAATCCACCTTCCTACTCTCCAGCCTATCCATAAAATATATATTGAGTCACTAGTCACTACCATTTATTTAATTGGCACGACAAACTGAGTTTTGTCAATAAAAAAAAATTAACAATTTTCAGTACCTTATAAACTTAATTATTTTTAAATCTACTCATAATTTATCCCAGTTAAATGAACCGACTGATTATAATATTTGGTGTGACAGCATAATTAATTACTCAAAAATAAACAATTCACTTAGAATTGAACAATTTGTCTAATTAAGTATAACAATTATAATATTAAATGCACTTTTTAATATTTTAATACTTTAATTTTTTTCCAAGTTAAAAAAAAAATGCATTTTATTATGTGATTTAAAAATGTTTTTATCTTATATTGCTATACAAATACCTATCGAAGAAACTATATTCAATTTAAAGTAAAAATGTATTTATGTTTAGAAAATGTCTACATTAGAATCAATATCAATCCAAGGTATAAGAAGTTATCATCCAGATGAAAAACAAACTTTAAAATTCCATAAGCCCCTAACGTTGATCTTGGGGCAAAATGGTTGTGGAAAAACTACTATAATTGAGTGTCTAAAATATATTACATGTTCAGATCTACCGAGAAATGCAAATAAAGGGGGTTTTGTATGGGATCCTAAACTATCAGATCATCATACTGTAATGAACATATATTTTATTCTTATTTATTTATTTTTTTTCATAATTTAATCATGTAATATTATGTTTAGGTTAAGGGCAATGTAAAACTATCATTTCATGATACTAAAGATACTCGTGTAGTGGTTTCGAAGACTTTGGAATCAACTCAAAAACTATCATCTACATCTACAAAATCGCTTGATCAAACAATTTCTAGAAAAGTCAGTATCTTTAAAAAGAAAATGCTCATTAGAAAAATAATACAAAAATTTTTTTGAAAGTGGAGAATATTTATGAAATTGATAAAAAATTGAACAATTAAATTCATAAATTGTTCTTGAAATGATCAGAGACACTCATTAATAACTTTATGTACATACAGAATATTAAACAATGGGCTACATTAAAGTACTAACCAAACATTGATGTTTTTTTTTAAATCAAATTAAATCTTTATATTGAATTTGAAATTAATCTTTGTATTGGTAAATGGATGTTTCGTCCCCGTAAAAATATCCAGTCAATGGACATTTTGTCCCGTCAATTATTAAAGTAGGAGATTTAGCCCCTGGGACTATATTTAGCTATATAAAGTTTGGTTCCATGGTATTGTAAATTATCAGTCAAATTTAAATCACTATTTTTTTTTAATTTAAAATTTCAATTTTTTTTTAAAAAAATGTAAAATATCCCCTTATTATGAAATTTTATTTCATATTTTATTTTATTCTCAATTTCTTTGATATATTTATTGTTAATAATTTTTTTTTTATGCAGTTGCTGCACATTTTTATGCACACTTGTAAAAATTCAATAAAAATATATGTTTAGGTATCTAATTCCTCCAATATTTTTAAATTTTTTATCAAATTAATTTGACACATTGTTGGTTTGACCATAACAAAATGTTCTCTGATTCTTCAAAACTCTTGAATGAATTTAGAAAATTATCTTTTTTATACTCTGTCCAGTGAGAGAACTCATCAACCAAAATTGGTTTTTCTGTTCACTTCCACGTGACACCCTACCATAGGAGAACCAGTTTTGATAACAAGGTTACTCCGGAAGATGCTCAGAATCAGCGCTTTCTTTTGCTGTACTAAGTATAGAGCACCATCTCATGTTGAGTGCTGATATTTTAAGATGCATTTAAAAACTTATACCAGCATTTCTACCAAAAAAAGTAAACATAATTTTAAAACCATAAGCTTCATTACACCACTAAGTATCTAAAATATAGGTATGTACCAATTATAATATATATAAAAAATAAAAATAAACACCAGGTCACCAAACTTCTTATAATTCCCAGAGGCCAAATGACCTACTTTAATAATTTACAAGGTTGAAACGGCTGCTATTCTTTATATTTTGTACTTATTTAATTTTTACCATTGATTATTTATGTTGCATACATATCTAGGGCCAGAGTACTTCACACAAATGTGCTGATGTTGATGATGTAATGTGTACTTATTTAGGTGTTTCCAAATCAATTTTAAAAGATGTTGTTTTTTGTCATCAAGAAGACTCCAATTGGTATGTTTATAATATTCACAATATAAATGAAATAAACAATTAAAAATCAAACATTTGTTACAGGCCTTTAGATGAAGATAAAAAGGTAAAAGAAAAATTTGATTCAATATTTGATGTTGGAAAATATGACAAATGTATGAAACAAATTCAAATAGAAATAAAGGCTACTCATGGAGGTGAGACATAACTTTGATCATTGTTTGATAGGTTGAAGTTTTTAAATTTTAACCATGTAGTTACATGAGTTAAGTATCCACTAAAGAGATCATTACTACATGTATGCAAGACAGATAATTGATGTCATTACCTTGTTGTGTTCACTTGGAAAATTCCAGATTTTCCCTATTGTTTTTTATCAGTCTTTTACAAAAATCTGTTATAAAATAATTGGATGATAGTCATAAGTCCATAAAGTCTTTATACAAGTTATACAAATAATGCATTTTTGAGAGGTAGTATAGCCTTTCTTTATATTATAGTCAATATCTAACACAATATAAATAATTTTTGGTTAATTATTTTGTTATACTTTTCTCAGTGAAGTGATGTATATTTTTATAGGTGTTAGATAACTACTTTTCAGTAATAATATCCATAACTTAGGTTTTTCTTCTGCACTTACCTAGTATTATCTAATATCAGTATGATTATTGATTTAAACTTCAAAATTATGTTAGCGTTTTTACTTAACTATTTAATATAAATAAATGTGTTTTAGATAAAAAGACATGCAACAATAATATACAACATTTTTCGAAATATAGAGAAGAAGCACGCAACAAAAGGGCCACCCTTGAAAGTAAAAAAAGTAGTTTTGATGAACTACAGCAAAAACTGAATAGTATTGATAAAGAAATGGATCCACTAGAGGTCAGATACAACGAAATTTTGAAAAAAGAGGAAAATTTTTTTTATCTTAAAAATAAATTAATAACTTCTGAAGGAAATTTGAACTCTATTCGATTAGCTATTAAGGATTTGAAATTATTGATTAAGTCAGAGTTTGAAGGAAATGACTCTGATCTTGATGAAGCACTAGAAAATTTTAATAATAATTTGCTGTAAGTTACTTGTAAAGCTTAATACGTATTAGATAAGAACTGTTAAATAATGTTAGGCTTGGCCTGTATGTAAATTTTTTAGAAAATATGTTCAGTTAAATATAAAAATAATAAATTTAAAAAAAAACTATATCTGTTAGAGGAAAAGAAAATGTTTATTAAGTAAATATTTTTGTCTAATCAATTATGTTATTTGCGTATAGTCAAAAAGAAGAAGAAAAATATAAATTGAGTCGTCAAAAAGATGA